GAGCGTTCCCACCGAGCAAACCCCCCGGGAATTCTTCTTCTTCCTCCTCGTTTCAGGTACCTCTCAGGAGCCACGTGACTGCCAGATAGGAGTGACCGGATCACGCTACATCACCATCTTTTTCTATGTCATATACGCTGATGTGTTTATACTACCCCAAACCCGAAGATAATTGCTATTTTTGTGTAAGTCTCTTCAACTTCATGACTATTACTAAAAGTAATGAATGAATGGGAGCCCAATTGTCTCAAACTTCAAGACTAATGTAAAAGAAAGTAATAATTAAAGTGGAGTCCAAACTATCTATATTTGTAAAATGTATTGTGTAAAGTCTTAAAAGTGGAGAGAGTCCCATTGTTTCTATACCAAAACCAGAAGTATCAGACTTCTACTACTATCCATAGTCGGTTCGGTTTAGGTTGGTTTCAGTTTTCAACCTGACTAGTCGAGTTGTTTATATTTAGAAACTGAGACCGACTAGATCGGGTTGGATCAGATCGGTTTGGTCTGTTTGATTGGTTTGACTCTTCTTGTGAACACCCCTAACTATTTGGGCCAAGTGGGAGATTAGAAAAATGCCCATACGGGTAGGACCCAGATTGTGGCCCATCATAGTGGCCATGATCCAGATTGTTTGGTCCTAACCCAACCACCCAAATAGAGTTCATTGTGTGGCCACGATCCAGATTGTGGCCCATCATAGCTCTAGAATTTGGGGATTTGACAAATTAAATTTAAATTTGAATAGACCCCATTTATTTGAAAATAATGGAGCTATTAATTGAGAGAAAATCAAGGAAATTAGATCCCTCCTCTTTAGGTAAACTCTTTGATAGGGGGAGACTGCACAAAAGAATTAATATGAGAGAGGACCCTCTTCCATAGGTGAATGAAGCATTCTCTTTGTTATCTAATCTCATCCTAACCTCCAAGTCATGAGAGTGCATCCTATCAACATTGTTTCTCAGGGAAAAGATTCATGAGTCTTTTCCCATGAGAGAATCATTGTGACTCAAGGGGATAGACTAAGCCCTTGTAGTCACCAAGCATCTATCTTGGTGGTAGAAGGTACTACATTCAAGTGGAGACACCTGTATTGGTACAACTAAGGAGAACGTCTAAAGGTTGATATGAGAAGGAAATCAGTTCCACAAGTTAAGAACAACGGTTATGGCGACTAGAGGTATAATGTTTGTTTTGTTTTGTTCTTTTGACCGGCCTAAGCAATCATTAGTCTTCAAGATCTGATCAAGTCAGATCTGTTTTATTATTCCATTTTTATTATTTCATACTTTTATCTACATTGTTCAAAACTAGTGACTGCACAACCGACCTTCGAAAATTACATTGCATAAACACTATTTTGTAAATAAGAGCATTCTCCCACCTATTTTATTAGAGAAAACAAGATCAAGATGTTTATAAGGAAAGGTTCATTATGTAAATAAAAGCATTCTCGATCAATGAAGTAGAAGCTTGAGCAGTTGTTGATGGTTATCATGTAGCAGAAGGGTTTGGTCATTCCAAGATCTCAACAGAAGGAGATTCATGCATACTAGTAGTTAATGGTCTTCGAGAAAGGGAGGTACCTACTCCTTGGAACATAAAAGATTTTTTTTTGCAATATTGCTATGAACTTTTTCATGATTGGGCTCTCAGTCTCATTTCTTGTACTCTTTATTGCACGAGTATGACTAGAGGGATTTGCTCCTGACAGAGCGCTCCTCACACCAAGAACATCCCAATGTCTATTAGAAACATCTCTCCATGAATGACAACATACAAGAACGGTAGATGTTCTTGTTGTGTGTGTGGTTGGATTGCGTAGTGAGGTTGGTGTAACCATATCAAGACTCGAGATTAGGGATGGAAATTTTCCTCATAAAACTAGGGCCCTGCCCTGTCTTGAATAGGGCGGGTTTTACCTGATCTTTCTTAATAAGGGACAGAGTGGAGATGGGGAAAATATTTTTACCCCGAACAAAGAATGGGGCAAGACATGATTTGCATATAATCCCTTGGATCTTCCCTAAATCCAATGATAAATTAGTAAAATATCGCTACATTTTATATTAATTTTGAATACATTCCTAATTTTCTCCAAATTCGTAAGAATCCTATCTTACCCTTTCAGCATCTTGTAGAGGATGACTCAGGATGTAGAGATTTGCAAGAGTTTGGCCGGGTTTGTGTGTCTTAGGAGGGGAGGAAAGGATATGTTAGCTTTTCTTGGAGTTGGGAAAACATTCTCCATGCCAAGTGCTGTTGATAGCTCTTGGTATATATGGCTTGACTAAGGAGGTTGATTATTCTCACTCACTCTCCCAGGCAACTTAAATTCCTCTTGTGGTGATTACTCAGGTCAGATGTTGATGATCAAGATTCCATTTAATTTTCATCTTAGCAGAATTCCAAACTCTAGAAGGACAAAGGATTTAAGAGATTTCTTTGGAGATTTTTGTGAGGAAAATCGTTAAGGGTACAAAAGTACTTATGGTCTTAAAATTCAAAATTGTTTATTATTATTATTATTATGCACGATTAAAGGGTAAAAGTAAACAATTTATATGAATAAAAATACTATGATTTAACTTCTATGGATTGCACAAATAATTGTATATCAAGGCATGTCTAGTATCTTTTTGGTTGTAAATAAAGAAAGTTATTAAAAAGAAAATGAAAAACTATAGAAAGGGAAACCAGCAAACCTGACAAGACAATAACTGTACAAACCAGCAAACACTTCTTAATGGAAAAGCCAATCTCACTCGTTCAACCAAAGTGCACCTTACCCTAGAAACAGAGAATACTCAGATTCGAGTCCTCACAAAACCCTTCTCACAATCTTTTTCAGTCATGCATTGAAAACATCTTGCACATGTATGTTTTTATTCATGACAAGATGTTCCTGAGAACGATGTGAGGAGGGTTTTGTGAGAATTGAATATGAATTTAGAAACAAGGATATATGATAGAAACATCTGCTTAAAACTAAAGCACACCCAATAAGTATTTATGATATTTCTATTTCATCCTCTATCACTCCTTCCTCTCCACTAAACCAAGGTTTTTAAAATCGAATTGGACAATAAATCAGTTAGGGGTCCAGTTCTTAGGTCGAACAGTCCAACCATTCAAATCGAAAGGATGGCTCGTTCTGATAAAAAAATAAAAAAAAATAAAAAACAGTCAAAGCTGCTGAACAGTTCGAACGATTTAACTGCCCAGGTCAACGATTTGTTGACCAAATTAATGTTTTTGGGCAAATTAATGGTTTTGGGGTAAAATGGAACCAATCACCTGACTAGTTCCCAGTTTTTCCGGTCTGATCGTCCAGTCTGGTTTGATTTTGAAAACCATGCACTGAACACTTTTTGTCCTTGAACTTAGATTCAATCCTCAAAATATGGTGCCCACACCAAACTCACAGTCACTTGCAATCATATATTGATAATTAATATCTCTATACTTATATGTTTTTATTCATGGAGAGATGAGATATTTCCAATGCACAGCTGCAAGTAGCTGTAAGCCTGTAAATACGGCATGTTATGAGAGATCACATCTCCGCCCCACAACACATCCCCGCCATGTATTGGGAATATCCCTGACGATGACATCATCAGGACTGATACTATCTTGGGAGATGTTCCCAATACACAGCAGGGATGTGCAGTGGAGTGTTGTGGGGCGGCCCCGTGTGGGGGGAGATGTTAACTCGTATTATGAGTACTGAATCCGATCTTATCCTCTTCGGTCTCATGGGCCTGCACCGCCATATATATCGACTTAAAAGATCCACCATCTTCCTCATTTTCCTGTTTCTAGGCAGACCCCCAAACTTGATTACTGTCAAAATCCCACGTTTGGGTCCTCTCTAGAGGGAAGGGAGGAAAATTTCCTTTGCATAAAAAAAAAAAAAAACAGTTAATTAGCCACCACCAAATCTCTATCCACTCTCCTTTTCCAAGTAGGCTCCAGATTTGTATGACTTGATATAGCCTATAAGTATAGGGATCACTGCACGTAGGGATGGCAATTTTCCTTATGGGGATTCGCCCCGAATGAGACAGGAATGGGGATGATTTTCCTCCTACTGAGAAATTTTCATCTCTATTCTCCCCGTCCCTGCCCCGCCCCATTGCCATTCCTAACTACATGTCGTTAGTGCTTCACCAATCTCATCACTCGAGCGTTTCACCAACAGTCTTGACCACCATTTCATTGTGGCCCATAGCGTTGATGAAGTCGGAAATACAGGCGTAAATCTCTGAGTACCTATGCTCCCCACGAAACATATATATTTCGACACTTACACTACAATCCTAACACCGAAACACCCCAATTCATCTGTTACGGTACGAGCACCTATAACCTTCATCAGTCCCTCCGCTCCGGTTGTCGTCAAATTCAAACCTGCTTAATAGTGATGACGAAGTGGAGGGACCTAAAATAGAATAAATAAATAATACTTGCAATTGAAATTTGAAAACAGAGAACCACTTCAATTAATTAATAATACTTGTAGGGATATTTTTGTTTGGGACGTCAGAGATCAGAGTTGACTGCTGACTATAATTTCCCGCCATTAATATATATATATATATATATATATTAAATATTAATTATATATATTTAAAATATTATTTTTATTTTTTATTTGAAACAAATCCATTTTCTATAAAAACTGAATGTAAAAAATGGGGATTTGGGTTTCTGATAAAAAACTCATCTTCATGAGGGATTGGCTATGTAGGTTAATTTTTTATCGTTAATGGGGATTGGAGTCGAGAATGCATGGGACTAGTTAAAAATCAGGGTCAGGGATGGAGATTAGTGTGAGTCTCCACTCCACCCCAAACTGATTTGTTGCCATTCCTAAATTGTTATTGTTGTAATTAACGTCCTTAGATTTACAAGAATAAAATGGATCAATAAAGAAAAGGTATATATAAGACAAGAAACAAATTAATGCAGTAGGGAGTAGTTGTGCTTATTACCTAGAGTGATGTGTAGCACCTTATTACTCTTGGAAATTGGGGTGCAACCAGTTCCATTCACCTTGTAATTGTAACCATCACCTACAGTTCCTTCTGGGCAAGTGCAGTTGTAACTTCCGAGTGTATTCACGCACGATCCTTCACAGTCATGGGTGGCATTCTTGCATTCATCAATGTCTTCAAGCAACAATTAAGCATAAAAGGCTGGCATAATCAGTATTTAATGGGGGAACTAATAAATCATCATAAAATCAATCACTAAATAACTGGGTACACACAATCTTCTACTTCTGCTTTACTATACCTTGGCATCCATGTGGCAGATAAGGATTGCCATGGTAGCCATTCTTGCAATGGCACAGATATCCGCTGCCGCTGGTAGAATTAATGCATTCAGTGTTGTCTCTACAGGCATAGTTCACCTGCAGGCTTGAATCTCCACAGGTCTGGTTCCCAATCTTCCACTCCAGCACCACTGGAGTTCCCGTCTGATTCCCAAACTTATATGGCACTCTTCCTATAAAATCCCATATATCTGATTCCATGAAACTGAACCATTCATCCTTAACCAGGAAGGCATAGCTGCAATTGGAGTCATCATAGCTGTTGCTTTGGAGTTTTACTTGAAACGTATCAAGACCCCGAGGAATGGACGTCTGGCAACATCCGATGCCGGAACAAGATCCGTTGATCACATTGGTGATATTGCCACACACAGAGCTGCACCCGCTCTGGAAACCGTTAGGGTTTACGTAATCGGACATGAACGCCTCCATGTTGCATCCGATAGCAGTGAATTTGTTTCGGGTGTTGGAGAATTTGAACCCTTCCGTCAAGTTGATCTGGACTGTGACTCCTGCATCTTTCATTTCTTGACCTTGTGCACGAACACCGTCGGGTGGGGACTGGCGCATAAAATAATGATTCAATTAATTAACTAGGATCGACAATACATTGAATACGAGATATATCGTATCTATATCCATGTTCACTGGCATAGGATACGTTTCTATCTTGTTAGTCATAGTCATGTATATCCGCATGATACACCACTATATTGGTGTGTATACCGCTGTATCAGGGGATACAACCTAAGGCTCAGTTTGGAAGGACTATAAATGCAAATATGTAGAGTGCAAACTTTATGTTTTGTATTATTTTGTATGCATTTGTATTGTATATATTTGCATTTGTATTCTTTCTAAACTGAGCCTAATATTCATTGATAAAGAGGCATATCAGACCCTAATTTAACAACATATTCAAACCTTTATTTAAGAGTTAATTTTCCCCAAAAATTTAATAAGAACTGAAAATTATAAAATTAATTTTATTTTATTTATCTCAAATGATTTATATATTTTATTTGAAGTATAAATCATATGGGAAAATGAAAACATATTTATTATTTGAAAAATAGAGTTATTACTTATATAATTTTCCCAAAAAAATAATAAAAATTGTAAATTATAATTATAAAAACTGAACTAAATAGTTTAAGAGTTATCTTTCTCCAAAATTTTAATAAAAACTGAAAATTATAAAAGTAATTTAATTTATCTACCTTAAATGATTTATACGTTTTATTTTAAAATTGTATTTTAAAAATAAAAATATACTAAAAATGCTAAATTAAAAAATTCCCAAACAATTAATAGATATTATGTTATAATTATAAAAACTGAAATAGAGTGATAATTCTTGTATAATATGTACATCTTTTCAATGCCCCGGTATTGTTGATTTTAATGTTTCTGTTCATATAACATATTAAAGTGTGCATTTCTCATGTATTTATACCTCATTCATAGTTAATTCAGCTTTAAATTTAGTGATATTAACATATTTATGTAATTTGTATGCATTTTCCTAGTGAAATAGGGATTTAGAATTGCCCAACTGTTTGGCCGAGCAGAATTGGAATTTCAGTCTCATTCTTGATGAAATGATCACATTCCTCCATTTGAAGGAATGGCTATTCCCTCCTCTTCCAATAGAATGAGAATCCATTCCAGTCAATTCTAAATGTGAACAAATAGGTGAAAAGATAGATCATTTTGATTCCAATTCCAACCAATTCTCATTCTGGTAATTCCAATCTAAGTATAAACTAATAAACGAATTCTAAATAAGTTTCTATAAATGAGATCAAATCAGTCACCCACAACATCTCACAGCACATCCCCTGTGTATTGGGAACATCTCGATGATAATATCAGAAATGATGTTGTCATCATCGGGAAATGTTCCCAATATACAGCAGCTGGGATGTGAGAACAAGGTGATATTCATCAAAATTCAGGAGGGGATTTGATTCATCAAAGATAGCAAAACACAACACGTAGGACCCGTATCTAACATGTAGAAAAGTATTTCAGAAACTAATAAACATAGTTCGATTATTTCATGTAGTTGCAAAACATGCAAAACTGAAGAAGGGCCATGGACTCTCTTATTCCTTGGTGTTGTTGATAGGTTGGGATGAGAGTTGGGCCATCCTCTTTTTTATATAGAGGTATAGAGTAGCTCCATCACAGACTCTAGCCTCAGTTGAAACAAAGGTGGCAAACCTCTCATAGGTGGTGGTTTTCTTAATCCGGGTTTCGCAAAAATAAAATGAACCCCATTTAATTATTGCAGAGTGCAGACCACCTTTTAAAACCCTATCATATTTCCAGCACCATAGGTCTACCCTAAATCTAAAAAAAATGACTTTCTGTTATAAAAAAGAAGTTTTGGTGAAAATCCACAATTTCAGAAAAGCTGTTTTATGGAGGAATTGATACTAGGTGCAATTGTATAATCAATCAATATGAAACGTACAATAGTCTCCTCCTAATATTCCATTAATCATCAGGATCGCTTAGAACTCACGTTGGATGATGAGTCGTTGCAGTCTTTGGCAACCCAGATGAGCGCGGTTGCTTCACCCTGTAATAACGATATATCCAAAATGGGAATATTGTCTTCGGGAAAAGAAAGCATAGGAGGATCGAAGGAAGTATTGCAGACTAATCTGAAAGCTTGGTCTCTGAAACATTTGGGGTCATCAAGGCCAAAGGGATAAGGGATGGAAGTGTTCCCGCATGTTTCCTTGCAGCCAGGCATCGTCATGTTGGTGTATGTCGACGACGACACAACCGGCCATAATAACAGCAGGCAAAGAAAAGCAGCCGGCCGAGCCATCATTATTCTTGGGTGTCTATTGCAAAATATGCATTAATTCTTCCTTTTATAAGCACCAATTAGAAGTCTATTATAGGTGAAATGGGGTAACTTCTGACATAATTCACAGGGATTCAATGGGGGTGATGTCAAGGATAAAGTAAATTATTTACGGGGACTCAGGGAGTTGGTAAGTTCCTTGGGGTGTGAGGTAAGCTTTTACGTTGCATTTACCCTAAGGGTTCCAAGGTCAAACTGTCATTGGGTAAATTGCTGAAACCTCCCTTAAGTTTTTGGTTGTTGCTGAAACTGTTGAAATTTGGTAATTGCAATTAATCGTCTCATGAACTTTCTAACATAGTTGCAACTTGCAAGTAGACCCCTTTTGTTAGAATCAATTAGGCATGAAAATGTTCAAGGTATTCATGCAGTCATTTTTGACCAAGATGCTTAATTATTTTTTCCAAATTTTCTCTTTATATGAAACCTCCCCTTAAGTTTTTGGTTGTTGTTGAAACACGTTGAAGTTTGGTAATTGCAATTAATCGTCTCATGAACTTTCTAACATAGTTGCAACTTGCAAGTAGACCCCTTTTGTCAGAATCTTTTAGGCATGAAAATGTCCAAGCTATTCATGCATTCACTTTTGACCAAGATGCTTAATTATTTTTTCCAAATTTTCTTTTTATATGAATTGCTAGCATAAATCCTTTCATTCTCTTTTCTGAAATTGATTTATTTTCCAAAATTTCCCTTCATATCAATCACTCAAATTTAAAATGCAACTTTAAATTCTATATTTTTTGTTGTTTATAAAGTTGTTATTTTTTTTTCTATAGAAACCAGCCTCCATAGAAATTGCATGGGTATTTTGGACATTTTTATGTCTATTTTTAGAAGATTCTATCATAGAGGGTCTACTTGCAACTCTGTGGGAAAGCTGAGGAGAGGTGATTGCAATTACCAAACTTCAGGGTAGGCTGCAAGTTAACCAAGAAAGTTCACCCTAGCCTATAAACTATCCGATAGTTTGCATTTTATAAAAACATCCCTAATAATTTGCAACTATGGCTCAGTTTGGAAAGAGTACAAATACAATTATGTAGAATACAAAACCTTGTAGCTCAGTTTGAAAGGAGTACAAATACAAAATGTAGAGTGCAAAACCTTGTATTTTGTATTATTTTGTATGTATTTACACTATGCATATTTGTATTTGTACTCCTTCCAAACTTAGCCTAATTTATTTAATCGAGCTTTTGTTAATAACCATTTGTATTGCTGAGTGAAAGTGGTCACGTGGTCATCTAAATCAATTGTAAAGTGTTTAAGGGCATGGACCCATGGTTGTTAATTTCTTTGAGGCTTCACATTTCAGGTAGTGTTATTTTGTAATTAAGTTCTATATCTTGTCTAGTAATAATAGATCTAGAGTGTAAATAATGTACACCTAATTAATTAAGATAAAGAAGTGACATTTTTTTTCTTTTTTCTTAATAAATTTTCTATTACCCAAAAAAGAATGAGGAAAAGATATGAGTCGTGGTGATTTTCTCCTTCATATGATCCTTGTTTATAGGCTACAGTCCATTAACATTCTTGATTAGGGTTAAAATTGTCATTTTTACTTCTATCCAACAAAAGATTGATTAAGTAAATAGGTTGCAAAAAATAGGGGTATTTTTAATAAATAACCTTTATTAGGGATCATAAATTGTAAGATAAAGTTATGAATTCTAAGGTGGAGTGGATCGTAAAAGTCCCTTCTTATTATACAAAAAATTTGAAACTTCTCATTTACTTTGGAACTACAAAATCTTTCTCCTTGGTAGTTAAGATAAACTTTAAGGCTATGTTTGGTTTGAAGGAAAAAGTAGGGAAAGAAAAGGAAATGAAAGAAAACCTTTACAAATCTTGTATAGATTTCCCTGCATTTCCCTTCCTTTCCCTACTCTTTCCTTCAAATCAAACATAGCGTAATTGATCTCTCCTCAGGAGAGGATTAATCCCCCTCTTTTCAAGATTCTTACCGCGTAAGACTGCTTCAATATGACCAAAGGAAAAAATGAATAAATCCGATAAACCTCTCTAGCTTTTCTGACAATGTCTTAAGTCTGCCTTCAACTTTGACCAACCCTTACACCTCCCCTGACTTTGGAGATGAAGGAACTTATACACCCCTTCTTGTACTTTGTCATTAGAAATCTAACAACTGCTCATGTCATGAATTTAAATATTTTATAATACCAATTTTGTCCATATGTAAAATTATCAAATGTTTGATGACTAAAATATTCTTAAAATAATATATTTTAGTCGTCAACGGCCAATTTGTTAAAGATCAATGGGGTACCTGAATTTGGCTCATACCGCATCAAATTTGGACTCAAATTGGATTACATTCGAGCCCTACCCAAAAGTCAAGGGAGGATTAAGAAGGGGTCAAAGTTGAGGGGAGGTTTAAAGTCTTTTCAGAAAGCTCAGGGAAGGTTGAAGGGATTTAACAAAAAAAAATGAAAAATAAGAACAAACAGAAGAAATAAAGAGGGGTAAAAGTTGAGGGGAGGTTTAAAGTCTTTTCAGAAAGCTCAGGGAAGGTTCAAGGGATTTAACAAAAAAAAAAATGAAAAACAAGAACAAACAGAAGAAAGAAATAGAGATGACCTCTTCAACTATATTAATACATTACTTTGTTGTAAGGATTAAAAAAAGACCACTTCATTAATCTACCATT